TGTAACTCATTTATGAGAATCTTACTGACTTCCTCTTCCTGTTTCACAGATCACGGAAATATGGGGTCAGATATGAGTCATGCATATCCACTGAGCTGAAGAAGATATTGTAGCATCATCATGCAACGGATCAGAAGCTATTTACAATGGGACAATTCATACCAGTCAGCATCTGCATATAAATTACTGTATGTCTTTAAATGTTGAGCTAATTTATTACAACTTCTAACTACTCATATGCAGGGGCGCATTGTCTTCAAAGGGCTGAAGCCTAGGAACATACACTTGGGAGGGGCCTACTGGCTGCAGGTAAATTATATTTTTCGAATAATTATTTATATATATTTGGGAGCTTGCGGTAGTGACAACAGCATTCTGTAAACAAACTCACACACTCATTTTCAGCGACGCCCTGCTTGTAGTATATTTGGTGAATGGTGCAGTTTAGGTTTCCTCCACACAGTTTGAATAGCTGATATGTTCCACGGATATACTGTGAGCTGAATGCACAATGCACTAATAAAGAAGCCTAGCGCGAGAGATATTCTGTGTACATGTCTTTATGCTATATGATTTAATTAATTAAACTCGAGCACGGCATGTTTCAAAATAAAAACACAGCAATCACCAATCACCAAATCAGCCCACATTTATGCAAACTTGCCAAGTGATAGTTCCGATCTACTAATGATGAATAATGAATATTTTGTGTAATTTATGGTGTTAAAAATCATACCTGTAAACTCACCTTTTCATATTCCCTCATATAATGCCTCTAATAACGTAGTGTTTACTTTAAGTAAAGGCTATGATTCTGCTGCTTCACAAGCGCTACCTTCTGTCAAAGAGTGAATTTGCATATTAACTTATATTCATATTTTAAGCAGAACAGTGTTGTAAATGTTAACTGGCATGTCAAGAAGAAAAATTCTAAATTCGACATAAATAACTGTCAAAAAAAAAGTAAAATAAAAAAAAAATACTGCTGTAATGCTGCAGCCCAGGGGCCTCTGATTATCTTAAGGCACCCCTGCTCACATGAAACACATTTTGAAAGCTTAAAAACAAAACTTTCTAGAAACATCAGTCACTCTAGCCATTTGAATTTTTTAAGGTGCTGTATGTAATTTTTATGACTATACTAAAGCATAAAATGACATTTTGTAAATTTGGACTGCAGTTCCCATTTTAACTGCTAGCTGTCAATGCTACATACTAAAGTCTTTAATAATTTGTAGGAATGTAAAAATATTCTGAACCAAACCGAACAACATACACCACCCATGGTACGTACCGCCGTACTCTCATGGTGCACCGAACGCCTCCCGCCCAAATAGTAAATCAGAGTGACAACTTCCGCTAAATGCACAGCACAGGCTTTGCTGTTTCGTGTCTGTGCTTTAGGCGATCAGGCTCAATTTCATTCATTTCCAATGGATTTGACATTATGTAATGCTTTGTTTCTATTTATTATCTATTATTTGTGAATTTACCATGTCCTGCTGCTTTCAAACTGGGTTCCATTTTATGTTAAATGTGCTGCTTATAACATTTAAATTTTAGCTTTATTATTATTATTATTTTTATTATTTTTATTAATTAAGGCAAACTGTCCAAGCATTTGTTAACAAATGGAGGAGTATTCTTGTGGAAATTTCAAATACCACATAAAGAACAGCCCCCCCAATACCGAACCAAAACAATGACCCCCAAAACCGCAAAACTTATACCGAACCATGAGAAACCGTTGAACCGTTACAACCCTAATAATTTGGCTAAATCAATGTTGGGACAAATAATTATAAAACTATTTCAGTTTTAGGAACTGGCAGAGAATCGTCAAATGCCTGCCTCTGTCAACAGTAGTCCAATAGATGTTTTTTTGTAGACATTTTGTTTGCTTTCTCAACATCCCTTTGAGAAGTCAAAAGTCTTTCAGCTGGTGTTGGTGGATGGAAAGTTTGACCTGACAGTAAAGAGACAGCAGATAAGACGACGTCTAACCCTCTGAACCGGGACACCAAAGACAGATATGAGCTCTGCTCTGTCCTTTGCTCTGCCTGAGACATTCACTACTCTGTTTAGCTTGATTGTTTGCCATGGCAATATAAAATGAGAAAATATTTGATAGCTGAAATCCAGGCCAGACAGAGCCATAATTAATTGCTTATAAAAACATTCACCTGCCAAGTGCTGTAGAACATGAACCTTTAGTATATCCAGCATCATACGCCAGGAATTTAACATAAAATATAGAGACTAAGTTACTTGCTCTTGATAGCGCACTAACAAGCTACCCGGCCCAGAATTGTGAGAACTCTCCATTTGGACCAAATTGTTCCCGGATTCCTTTATATTCACATTGTGTTTGTGAAGGATCAAGCCTAACATTGTTATCGTGATCCCATTTTAACACATAATTTAATATCAGTGATGGAGAAAATGAAACTTGCATCATAGATTAAACCCCTTAGTCTCTCTCTCTCTCTCTCTCACACACACACACACACCATGGCAGCTGCATTATGTTTTAAATTTATGAACAGATAAAAATAGGATAACTAAGAGCAGTGGTGCAGCAGGTGAGCTGGCCTGTGTTCGTTCGTTTGTCTCGTTTGTGTGTGTGTGTGTGTGTGTTTGTGTGTGTTCATAAAAGTGGTGATGATGCAGAGATCCAGGCCTGTGTTGGTTCATAAAAGCAGTGGGATGTAGGGAACAAGCACTCCAGTGGCCTTAAGGGAACTTTAGGCAATGAGATGATGTCACCAGTCATTACTGTGTGGGTGTAGGTTGTTTTTTGCGTTTATTACTTTTTAACAAATTAATTTGCACATATCGGACTATATTCTAAACATTCACATGCTCATTTTATCTTAAATGCTAGTGGCTGTATTTGAGTATGAGGGAAAGTCTTAGATTGGACTGAAAAAGCTTGTCTTAACTCAAGAAGACTAAGATTTTAGAACAGGGGTTTTCAAACTTTACTAGATAGAAATCAGTTATTAAACTCCAAGATTAAATTAGTATAACTTTAAATGTTAATTTTGTGCTACACATGTCAATAGAAACTGATTTAGTTATACAAATATGTAAACACACACACCAGTTATAAATATATGTGTGGCAGTAAGTGGTCAGAAGTTTGGAATATTACCAATAATAAGAGAAATCCTATAGTCGACTACGCCACCCGGAATATAACGGGACATAACAGCCCTAAGCAAAGCGACACAGGTTCGTTGCCAAAGGCAGGGTGAGCATAATAATAATAATAATGGGTATAAACAAAAGTTACTTTATTAACATATAATTGATAAAAACACATACAACACTTTCACACCAGGTCTCAGTACATCACACGTCTTTACCAGTAACTTATAAAAGTACAATACAATAAGAGAAAATAAAGGGGGAGGTGGCCAGCAAAGACCCTCAGATTTCTACCCCACACTCAATACCCATTACACACACTCGTGAAAAATCAGTAATAAACAGCACTCCATGTGGACACCCAAGGTCCCATGGCCAACCCCTCCCACCTAAATCCACACACCAAACAATACAAAACAAAATATAACAGACGGACCCAGATGAATTCCAGACAGAACAAAACAGTAGAGCAGAGCAGAAGTGCAGTCAGTTACGTGAGGTTCGTTAGGCTTCAATTAAGATCATCAGAAACCCCTGGACGTGCAATCAATCCTGCTGGACATTGAACAAAAGTTACACATAAAAACTGGTTTAAAACAAACTTTAAACTACCCATACCTACCAAGAAAACAGTACAATGCTGCAATACACATGGTCGCTCACCACGCAGGATTACAGCTACTTGCAGGCCCATATCTAAAAACAAACAAAAGTAATAAGCCTCTATTTAACAGGCAAAGGGGCATTTTTAAAAACGGGACAAACCTGAAAACTGGCCAACAGCCAGCACACGACAGACAGGAGGATAACCCAACTGCTAGCACTCA